TGGTTGGACTTGATGATCTTAGAGGTCTTTTTCAACCTAAATGATTCTGTGGGATAGGAGTGTGAAAACTTGGCAGGGAAGTCTATCTGCACTGGTGTATTTCCATTTCAGCTGCTTGCAAAAACTTACCTTGATTGGCCAGATTGTAAGATTTTTTTTTTGCATGAATGCTAACTTTCTGCACTTATATTGGTAATATGTCTGTACATAAAAGTTGCATAGACTATTAAATTAATTATGACTTGCTGAAATAGTTTAATTTAATGCAGGGGAGGGTTGTGGTTGAGGCAAAAATTTGCTCCTTCCCTGCAATACTAGAAGGGACATGTATTCTTGTCTAAAACCCCATGTAGCACAAACACAAGTTTTGTTGTCTTTTTGGTTTTTTTTTTTGTTTTTTTTTTAAAAAAAAAACTTACCCTGGATCTGGAGGTAATGCATAGAAATGTCAAAGTCAAAACTGCATCTTCAAGATTCAGGAACTGCATGGATACAAGGAGCCTAATTGACCTTTGTTCATCTGACAAGAATTACTAAAGCCATAGGAATGAGATATATGACTTGAGTCTCTCAGGAGTTCTGAAGCCTAGGAAAGCTCTTCTCCTTTGCTGTTGGCTTGGCAGATTTGCTGAAGTTTGGCTTTGCATGGAACAGGACCTGGCTCTCTGTGCTCTAAGTTGCCTATTTAGCTTCAGCTGTGCTCTCTAATGACTTAGCCAAAACCAGATGATGGTAAGTGAAGGAACCACTTGACACTGGAATAAGGCAGCCTCTTCCCAGACCAGAGCTATGCACTTAAAATTGTCATCTACTTATTCTGTCAGTCTGACTCAAGTCTGGGAACCACTGATTTTCAAGCTATAGGCTTACTTAGAAAACAGACTAGATTTTGTATAAAGCCTGGATGACTGACTCTATAAATACCTGTGCTCTTCAGAATGGAAGAAATGTTTACAGATTGCCTGATGGATTCCAGTCAGAACACAACATGAGCCTCCCACATCACATCCCTACCTAAGAAAGATATACTCACTGCACAAGTCATCTGACTACTTGAGTCATCACATTAGCAGACCAAGACCTATGTGCTCCCTCAGCAACATCAACCTTCAGTACATCACTTTTATCTCCTAAATTTTCCCCTTTCTACAGCTTCCATTAGGTGGCTTGAGTCGAGAATGGTAATTCACAGCAGCAGGCATTTACTTCAGATTTTTCCATAGTAATTAATGCATTTTTATGTCAAGGCATTTACTTTTGTCCTGGCATAATTGAAGTTGCTCATGGCCTTAGTGCTTGTCAGTCAGAGTAAAATGATCACTTTAAGAGGTGTCTTTTGCATGAACTGGGTCTCCTTCTCCCTCAACCCCAGTGTAAACTAGAGTCATCGCAGATGCGGATGCTTTGCAAGGATAAGACATGGGGAGGGGTATTCTAATGAGAGCATAAAGAGCTCTTGCCCAGCACTAGTAGTAGATCAGGATGTGCAAGTAATTGTCCCTGTTTTGAGTCATTGTCAGTCAAATGCAATAAGAACTCTTCTTGCTTATGAGCTTCTGACAGTAGTAAAGCAAGTGGAATTCTGGTTTATATCCAAGGTATCTTAATGTGAAAATGGCTTAGGGAGTCTAATTTAGACCTGCCTGTTTCACTCTTACCCTGTAGCAAGAGAAAAATACCATTTTAAAGTTGACAGCAATTGAGCCAGAAAAATCTGCTTAACTTTTGCAAGTGTACTCTAGGAAAAGGACACGTACTGAAGGAGTTTTATACCTTTAAAATGTCCCATGAGGAGGTATTCTCCTGGGTGATACTGTCTGTAGTCGGTGGTCTTGGAAAAAGAACACAGGGTATTCATGCTGGGTAGTAAAACTTGGAAGACAAGTATGTCAGAGAACTCCTCCTCAAGGCTCTGAAAATATTCTGCAACAAGGGGTGTGGAATTACGTGAGTTCCTGATCTGGAAGCATTGCTATCTAGAGGGATTAGGAAGTAACACTTGATCTCTTTAATCTCTGTGACATGCTGTGTATAAGGAACTGTGGCAGTGGCATGCCTCTTTTGAAAGTGTGGAATTTAACAGCTCTTTGAAGAGAGGAAGAGACTGTACCCAGTGAACATACTTCATTATCTTTGTACCCAAAGTAGCAGTATTCTGTACTTCTCATGTAATATCACAGGAGACCTCAGGCCTCTGGAATAGCTCAGGGTTTTGTTCTATGTTGAAATATTTATTTAAGGAATACAAAATGTTTTTTCAAAACTTTCAGGTATGTAAAATAGAACTTATGCCTTGTTTGTGAGGAACAAACAGGCCAGTGGAACAAATGTTCAGTGTGACAAATGGAGTATTGAGAGAGAGGAAAAATCAAATAAGAGCAAGCGAGTACTAGGGTGGTTTTTCTGCTGAAAGGGAGCAGCAGTGAAACTTGACATAAGCTAATTTGGAACACTGAGTCTTACTGAGAATTCTCTAGTTTAAGAAAAAAAATTGGTAGTTTAGAGTAAGAAGCTGGCAGCTGGGAAGTGAGCATGGTATTTTTAATGAAGTGCAATTTTTGTCTTTTATGTGACTATTTCGTGACCTTTAAAAAATAATCAGAAATATCCCTGGCTTTTGATTTTTGAAATACGGTTAATGTAATTACAGTGCTTTTGTCTATTGCATTTTTTCTTGTATGTGTGATGAAAGAACTGTACTTGCTTGAACAACAGGGCAGTAATTACACTTCTCTTTATTTGCAAACCCCTTAATACTATGCTGGGTGCTGCTACAATGTGGACTTAGTGACAATTTGGCATTAGTAATCCAGTAAGGAAATGATTGTGTAGTTCATTTAGCCATTTTACTGAGATTATCTCCAACAGTAGCTTTGAACCAAGGGGTTTGTTTAATACTCTCCAGTAGCTTAATGGCTAGCTTCATACAAAAGCTGCTACAAAATTTTCTTTCTTTAAGAAGGTATTTGACAAATTGTAATTGCTGCTGTGTTCCTTGCACATACATGAATGTGCAAGAATTGCCCTGAACCTGAAACGTCCTGTGTTCTGCCAAATTTCAGATAATGATTTGGATCAAGTGCCGTGGCTCAGATCCACTTCTAATTTTCCCCCATTGTTGGCTTTCAGGTTGCTGCTTTAAATCTGAAAAGCAGTTCTGTAATTACTTGGTGCAGAAGCATTCATGAGAACAACAAGAAGAAACTTACTATTGCACTGGTCTTTTTTTAACAGCAGGTCTCTTCCTATTTTGTGTAACTTAAGAATTATTCACTTTTCTAGTTGTTCTGTGTCTTCAGCAGTTTTGGGTTGGTTTCTCAATCTGTAAAGCCAGTCATGCTAATTACATTCTGTTCACTGCTTCGTTACAGTGTAAAGTGCAATCCTAAATAAATAACAAGTCATAGCTGTGGCTCTTGGAGTCTTGCAGAAGCAGAGCAACCTATTCTAATATAAAAAGTGAAGATCAGCTATTTACTTCTATCCAAAGAGCCTTTAAAGGGCAAAACTTTCCTCCTTGTAATTTAAGCAATATTCAGGAATTATTTCCAAGTCAGCTGCTCAAACTTGAAAAAAAGTAAATACTGCTTATCCAGGTTACTGGTAATGCCCAATAAGAGGAAAGCTCAAAACAAGAGCTGACGGAGGAATAGTAAGTATTTTTTCCTCCAAGTATTTTTTCTTACACTTGCAATTTAGCATAAAACCGAATACAATGATGAAAAGGAAAATGACAACATGGTGTCTTTCTCATTTCTGTCAGTGGATTCAGTGTATCTCTGAGGCTGAAATGGAATTATCATCATGTTTTTATTTTCTGTGAACTCGACTACTTTGGGTGGAAATGCATAAAATAACTGTGGAAGAGGTGTTCAAGCTTTTCCTCACTTTAAAAAACTGCAAATACAGGTATGGGGGGAAAAAGTCTATAGGCTTCTGTTTTCCATCTCTGCCCTTCCCTTCCAGTGGACTCTTAATTTTGTAAGTGGCTAAGGGCAGTTATTGCTTCCTCTAGGAAGGGCTGTCCCATCTGATGGTCATGGAAGCCTGGCTTTTCTGGCATGGACTCCTCCTTCCAACAGATTTTCACTGTGCAACTTTACATTTTAGATTTCTGCCCACTTTGCTGCCTAGTGTCCTTCTTGCCAATAACATATGCCAAGAACAGTTACTAGAAATTGAAGGTTTTAAGTCTCTATATTTCAAACAGGTAAAAAAAAAAAGCCCAATCCTAGGTGTAGTAGGCTGACCCTGGCTAGATGCTAGGCACCCACCAAAGCTGCTCTATCACTCTGCCCTGGAACTGGATAGGGGAGAAAATGTATCAAAGGTTTGTGAGTTGAGATAAGGTCCAGGACAGATGACTCATCAGATACTGTCATGGTCAAAACAGCCTCACCTGAGCCTAATACATGAGAAATTATTTCTCCACAATTCTGCTGTTGGAAGACATTGCCCCACATTGCAATTAGAGAACACCTTGATGCAGTCATTATGAAAAAAAAATGAAAAAATTTGCTATTGACCATCCCTTTCTAACAGCTCTGCAGTAAATGCTGGTGCCAGTTCCATACAGGTAAGTTTCGGAAGAAGAACAAAACAAAAATCCCTTTTTGAACAAAAGGGATGAGGAGAAAGATACAATAGGACAGCAATCTCCAGAACATTTGCTGTCTCAGGAAATGGCCTGTGTAAAACTAAACTTACCTGAAACTGAAAAGGCAGCTAATTGCCTTCTGGGGAGACTACCAGGTGATAAACACCAGTGGTTTGTGGAGGGAGGGGGAGGCTTTTTAAGTGTACCAAAAGTGCTTGATGCATATTTTATGTAAAATGTTATTGCTTTTAGCATAAAATGATTTTGTTCTGTCTGTCTTCTCTCTCTTCTGGGCTTGGCCGGGCCATGTACAAATCCCAATCATTCAACAGTACTGGAGAGTAGATAGTATTTACCTCAATAATGGTAGTTTCTTTTCGATTCTTTCTAACCCTCAATTCAGATGATGGTTCGAAGCCAACGCCTACCATGGAAACCCAACCTATTTTCGATGGAGAAGGTAAGAACATCCCTTAAAATAACCAAAAATAAAGCTATTTCCCTCTCCCTTTTCTCTAGGATTTATGGTTCAAATGCTTTCTTTATCCTGCAAAGCAGACAAGCCAGTGAATCTCATAAGTTATCCAAATTTTAGAGTGCCCTTGGGACCTCAGGCATTTTCCCTAATCCTTTTACATCCTTCCCACTTTTCTGGAATCCAGCAATAACACCAGTTGAACGGATTCCTAGTATAATCTTGGAGGAAAAAGTGTGTCCCAGCAAGTAAAAAAAAGGTGCATCAAATCAGAGGTGGCCACTTCCTTTAGATTGTCATTACCCCCTTCCTATCTCCACTCTCATGATACTAATACTGGGAATTTCATAACCTCTGCAGTGTGTTACAGCTTTGCAAAAGGAAGGGTAATGTTAAACCACAGCTTGTGAATGTTGACTTGGAAGAAAATTGCTGGGAGGTTTCTTTATTTAGCAAATGCTTTCATTGACGCACATACTATTTAAGCAAATGAAGTCATTGTCCTGGGCCCACTTAATTCATGGCCCACCCAGGCAGTTTGCTTCTCAAATAGGCAATCTTGCAATTGTATTATTTTGGAGAGGGAATATGGGACCTTAGTCTATTGGAAGCCTTTAAATGAGGATAAAATGGCTGTCATCACAGAGGGTTCATGCGTTTTCCACTTACAAACGTAAATACCAGTGGGAATAGTGCTCCTTTGGTAGTGAATGGGCCTAAGAGCAGCTGCTTGTATCTTACATGTTGCTTGGAAGTAGCGCCTGTTTCCTACAGGGTTAAACCCACAACCATTACAGTGAAGCTATGGGCTGAAGTGTGAACCACTCTGTGACCCACCTGAAACTGCAGAGCCTAAGGCATCGAGGGAAAGCCTATGCATTTTCATAGGGGGCTGATGTACTTCATCTGTTTTTTAAAGTAGATCAAAGGCAGAAGTGGACACTACTGAGCAAGAGTAGGAGGTACTTTTCTGTTGATATTTCCTGCCTTCTTGTAGAAACAAGTGCTGTGGTAGGGTTTTATTGTTGCTAAAATAAGCACATTTAATGGTAAGATGCTGTAGTCCTATCACTTTGTATTTAGTGACTGTAGATTTTGACGATCTTCTTGTGAGCTTTAAGAAACAGCAAAGCTCTCAGAGAAAAAACACTCAAATAAACAAAGGAGACTGAAGCCATGCTTTCTCTCTCTTGTTTGTATCAAAAGCAGGTTCCTCCTGGAAGTAAGCTGGTGCTGTATTAAATTACTGTTGGCAATCACAAACTTCTGACCTTTATGTTTTCCCCTGAGAGAGTACCCATAGATGTTTAAAGGAAAGAATGTGCTAGTAGAATGCAGGAGTGAGATGATGTGGTTAATACAGCCTGTTCAGAAGCTCCTTCTAGGAGAGTTTGGTCACTCAAATAGAGCTGGACAAAGTTCTTGAAGTGGTATAGTGAACACACCTTTTCTGGTTCTTCTGGTGATGGGCAGAATCTGAAAAAAATGGTATTCTACCTTCAATGAAAAACATTTTCAATCAAAAACCTTCACATTGATTTGTAGGTGAACTCTAGTCTGATAAATGGGCTTGGGCTGAATGATGGAAGATTGGCTCTCAAAAAAATTGCAGTATATTATTCAAGACCTTAACTCTTAGACTTTGAGAGCATGACTAGTGCAGTGGCCTCCTGTTGTGCTAGCAGTGTCCCTTATGACTCTGGAGGACAGACAGACAGGCAGGTTGACCAGGCTATGCACTGATGAATAATCTCTTCTAAGTTTGTCACTCTGTATTTTGTCATCTCTATTAGTAGAATAGGACTGAGTAGATTTCAGTGGTGGCTGTAAAATAAACAATTAATGGTGTGATTCTTGGGGTGTCTTGTGCAGCACCAGGAGCTGGACTTGAGTGATTCTTGAGGGTCCCTTCCAGCTCAGGATATTCTGTGATTCTAAAGTCCTGAGCAACCTGGTCTATTCTTGAAGCTGACCCCATCTGGAGCAGAAGGTTGGACTAGACACCTCAGGATGTCATGCTGTACAATCCCTTTATCCTAACTGAGCAAACATGTTGTGATACTTAACAAGAAGACTCTCCTGGTGTCATGGGGTAGGTTGTCAGGAGGAATAGCTTGTACTTGGTGTCTGACACAAATGGCAGAAAAGGGCAAAACAGTTATCCATTCACCTGACGGGTCTGAGATCTTCATATATATTCAAAGGTGTTAAAGTTCAGATCTCATTCCACCTCACTGCATTTGAAAACTGATGGGTTCCTGTAAACCTGTATATTCAAAGTCAGGCAGCCAGGGTGGAGCTGGTATCAACACGAAGGGACAATACCAATGTAATTTTTTTTTTTCATGTTTTGCCTTTGGTTTCTTACCTTCCATACACAAGGGGCTGACTTCTTTCAAAGGGCATTACGTGCACTCATCTGCCCCTGAAATGGGTGATACCTCTTGAAACTTCAACATCTCTAAGATGAAGGTTCACCTTTCTCATGTTTTCATCTACATTAGAGGATAATGAAAATTCACGTTTCATGCATAAGTTCCCCTCCCACTCCCCACCATCTTCCCTGAGGGCATAACAGAGTGGTGCCAGAGATAATATAAATCAGACAACTTAAACTCTCCCATCCAAGGTTTGAATCATAGCACAGCCATCTCTCTAAAAATTATTTCATATTATTATAATGCAGATCTTAGAGATGTTAATAGTGAATCTTTTTTTAGGACAAGATTCTCCTCTGCTGAAGAGTATTTTATTAATATCCTTGGTATAGTTTTGAAAAGTTATATTCCCTCCTGCACTTCTAGGCTCTGTTACTTGGTTTTCACCATCTCTTTAGTTTCCAAGTGCAAGGTGTAATAATTTCCTAAAGATATCTTCTTTAAACATCTCTTCTTTTTGGTAAACTTCACCTCCTAATTCATTTGGAATCTGCTCTTTCCACAGAACTGTTGTTCAGAGGTGTCTGTAATCTAAAAAGATGTCCAGGTTACCTGGATTGAAAATACATTTTTATGGTAGATTCCAAGGAATTAATTTCCTGTTCTTTCTCTTTTTTTTTTTTTCCACAGAATTCCTTTCTGTGCACCTTTCAACATCACTGAAAGATGTACACCATTGTATTTCTACAGGCCTTTATCCATACTTCAGCATCTATTGACTTTGATTGTCCCTCCTTTTTCAGCTGTAGACATATCTGGTCCATATGGTGCAGATTCAGAGCTAAATTGCATCCCAGATTTAGGAATTTAAGCCCCTTTTGGGGAGAACTGCCTCAAATTAAACATTGGGTAAGAGCTAGGAAGGGGAGAAGCACTAAAGTAGAAATAGTCCATAAATCAAAACGTGTAGGTATGTGTATTTATAGAAGCATGTGATGGCTGAATATTGATAAAATAGTGTAGTGAAACTGGCAGATAAGGCAATTTTTGATATTCTAGCAGCAGTAAAAGTTTGTTTAACAGTGTTCAACCTATACTCCCTTGTGAAAAAAAAATTGCCCTGAACACAATTAATATAATGCTGCCAATCAATGTAGCTGAAAATATTTAGGAAGGAGAATTTAATTTTCTTTCTTTTTTTTTTTTTATGTTCTTGTAATTTATAATCAGTTTCTCTTTACTCAGCCATCTTCTCCCTTTGATGAGCAGATCCATGTAAATGTCAACAAGGGAACAGGAAAACTCATGTGAAAAGTGCTCAGAACTTAAGAAAAACCTCAGGATGTACTATTTAAGTTGTGTTCTTTTGGAAATTGAATTTTTTTTCAGAAAATATCAGTCCTAAAAATGTCACTTGAGGTGCTGTAGCCCATGGTAGCAAGTACTGCTTTGCTCAGTTCTAATCAAATGCTGAGGTAATGTCATTTCTGTGGCTTAAGGCAGGTCCAGATATGTTTTGAAGTTGATTATAACACCTCAGAGGAGGTGCTCTAAGCACTTTTTTCCCCACAAATTTATGTTTGGATGTCTTGGTTAGTGCATCAGACATGCTTTTCTAACCAGAACCTATTTCTTTAACAGACTTCCTTTCAAGTCTTTCCAGAAATATCTTCATGTCTCTGCCTATTTATTTCAGATTTTGCTGTTGCTTGTTTTAGGGAAGTGACTGTGGCCAGACCTTCTTGGTCTGTTAGAGGTCTGGATTGACTGTTTAAAATCTGGGTTTCATATGTATCTTTGGGGGAAACAGCACATACTATAGCACCCAATGTAATGTTTGTGATCTCTGAGTCTTGAGGAAAAAGGCTTTTTGAGAATTCAGGAAGTGGGGGTTGGAGGGGGAAAAAAATGTTTTGCCAGAAGAGATATACTTTATGGAACAGGAAGATGAGAGAACCTTGTGGAAGATTTACAAATGGTGGTTCATAAGAGTTGGAAGACCTCACCAGGGGATGAACCTGTCTGTACAAAGATGATAGATCAGTTAAGGCATGACTGTAGCCAACATCTTGTTTTCTGAAGAGAGACTGAGAGAGTTGAGGTTGTTGCAGGCACCTTCTAGCACCTTGCAGTCCCTGGAGACAGTCTACAAGAGGGCTGGAGAGGGGCTTTTTACAAGAGCATGCAGTGACAGGACAAGGGGGGAACAGCTTCAAACTGAAAGACAGTAGGTTTGGATTAGGTATGAGGAAAAAAATCTTGGCTGTGAGGGTGGTGAGGCACTGGAACAGGTTGCCCAGAGAAGCTGTGGCTTCCCCATCTTTGGAAGTGTTCAAGACCTGGTTGGATGGAGCTTGGAGCAGCCTGATCTAGTGGAAGGTGTCCCTGCCCATGGCAGAGGAGTGGGAATAAGATGTTCTTTAATGTCCCTTCCAAACCAAACCATTCTATGATTCTGAGTAACTATCATGTGTATTTTTACCTGTTGCTGCAGTTTCTTTAAGGCTGTTATTTTTATTCTTTCAGAAATCACAGCACCCACCCTTTGGATTAAGCACTTGGTCATCAAAGATTCCAAAATGAACAGCTCCAATATAAGGAATTCAGGTAACTTCCTGTCTAAAAAAAAATAAATATTATTTTAACTAGTCTGTAGCTCCTTACTATCTGTTCTTGTTTGATTCTTTCTTCATTGTAGCTACCAAGCTGCTAGGGGCACTTGCAGCCCAGGCTATAAAGTAATTTCAGATAAGGTAGTTTTTTGTGCCCAAAGGGTCATAATCAATGTGTGATGAAGGATGTTTGTTTCCACAAGCCATAATTGGGGAATCTCCTAATTTCTTAATCTGTTAATTCATTTTAGCCATCTGTCATCTTTATTCTGTTTGCTGTTCAGCATGGGTATATGAACTGATGCATTTGGCTGAAAGATCTGGCCTGTGGTTTTGGTCTAAGCATTGCAGAAAATACAAAAAGAGGCTTCTTTTGTAGTGAATTTAAGATTCTTCTCTGCAGGGGATATTTTTTCATAAAGAAAGGAGTGGATTATTTCACAACTAAAAATAATTTAATTATGCGTGGGCCTAAGAAAATGCTGAGATTGTTTTGTGGGTAGTGGAGTGGATGGGGGAGGACCCAAGCCTGAAAAACAGCAGAGATCATGAACATGAGTGGGAAAAGGGGAAACAGGAAAACATGAAGTCAGAACTTCATGTAAGTGAAGTAAAACTTGTGTAAAACTTGAGACTGGAGACACAGGTGAAATGGTGGAGTGGAGTCACTGAAATGAGAAGGAACTGGAGAATCTGAAGAGGAATGTTTGGGATTCTTAGTAAGAATGGTTTCTGTCTAATATTTTAACTGAGGTGGAAGAAATGAAGAAATTAAAGGGAATATAAGAGAACAAAATTGATTTAAGAAGCCACGGATTTATTTTAGTTTTGAATAGGAGATGCTACTATTACATATATTTTATGAAACATAAATGCTTAGAATGGCTGTTGGACTAGTTCCAGTCACCTAAACAGATAAATTGTGGTATCTTGAAGTCTCTTCGTCTGGTAATTCTGGATTAGCTAGAGAGTATTTATGACAGTTCCTTTAACCTTCCTCTGCCACTTCCAAGCTGCAGGGTGAAATCAGTGCTAGGTTGGGTGAAACTCTCTAGCTGCAGAATGAAGAGCTCTTGGCAGGAGGACAGCCAGCATTGCCTAGACCACAGTTTTAACAAGTCTCCTGAGCTTCACCTCCCAGATGTTTTTGTAGCAGGGTGGTCTGTGTAGGATCTGCCAGTGGGAGTCAGCCAGAAGCTTCAGATGATGTGTGAGTATCAGCATCCTTCTTTAAGGATGTCTTTCAGGGGAGAGCAAACACAGCTTCCGTTTTTTTGTCAGCTGTTGGGACAACCAGCAACTGACAGTACAATTGAAGGTGACAGTGTAATATTAAAATCTTTTGTAATAGGTCCTACCTATCTTGGAGTCCAACTTTCTTGTAATACAGCAAATGTCATAGCTATATTGGAAAGAAGAGTGAGTGCTAAGAGGTTGCAAAGGGACTTGGGAGCAGGAGGGTCTGTTTTCCACCCTTTCTTGATCTGACAGAGCCAAAGTAGGCTGGCTTTTATGTTGTAAAGGCAATCACTTTGATTGTTTAGTCAGGAAGCTGCCTGATGTGAACTGGAATTTTGTCTGCAGAAGCGTTCTTTGTGTGAGTTTACTTTTGTTCACTTTTTTCAATTGTTTCTGATGTCAGTTCTGATACTCAAAATTATTGTGAGTGCATGCTACAAATGAAAAATAAATGATCTTGTGGAAAATTCAAGAGCTGTAAGCAAGCTAAAAGGAGACTTGTGGTTCATCTGACTTAGCCTTACTGATTACTCTGATGCTCACTTGCTATAGGGTCCTGTTAAAAGACTGGGTTGACAGATTTTATCCCCAAATTTCCCCACTGGGCCATACAAATGCACAGCCATTTCAGTTTCTCACAAATTATTAAGAAATGCTGCTTACAGCTATGGTTTTAGGTGTTATGAAGTGTGGGCTACTCCAGCCTTTTCCTTTCATATAGTGAAGCCTAGTCACCTTGTTTGGTATCTTTCATTCTTTTTATCCCTTGTAATGTATGTTAAAGGCAGTGTACAGTAGGTGGAATCAAACTGCAGAGAACTGGGAGGGATAATTATAATTTAGAATCATGTTTCTTCAAGTGTCTTTGAGTCTGTCTTGGCTGTAGATGATGAAACAGCTGTCATGAGATGGGCATGCAGAACTAGGGGATGTTTTTAATTGCCTTTGGCCCAACTTGAAATGCTAATGCTTAGCACATTTCCATTTTTAAAATTTCTTTTTAAAGGGTTAAGATAAGTTTTGCTAGCACAAGATTTGGATTCTTCAGTTTGTTGTTGCCTCAGCTGTATTGTCTATCCAAGCTTACACTAGCAGTCTTGGAGCAGATATAGCCTTGTATGCTTTTGCAGCAGTTTAATGGGATCACTGAAATTGAAAGTGAGAAAAGAAAAAAGACCTAGTAGGTCATCTAATATACTGCCTTAGGGCTAGTTAATGTTTATACTGTAAGGAGAGCAGCATTTTCTGCTGTACCATAAATGCCTTAGATAATAAAGATTTTATTTCTTCCCAAAGGAAGCTGCTCTGCTGTCTGAATTCAATCTCAGATTTTTTTTCTTTTTCTAATATCCAGCCTAGCTCTTCTTTTATTTCCTATTCCTTGGAATTTGTATAGTGAAGCACTTAGCTCTGATCTCTCCCCTTCCTGTGGTGATTATATGGCCCTGTCCTTTTCAGAGAAGAGTGGTCCAGATACTGCTGTCAGAAGATGTGTGCTGTTCTCTAAGCAGCACTGACACTGGACATCTTGGAAAGCAGCATCACTATGTCAGCCATGAGGAGAATTTCAGAATTGTTATGTGGAATCAAATAGACTCTTTAATTTGCTGTCATTGTCTCTGGTCAGTGTTAGGTGAGCCACCCACCAGGCAGCTGAGCATTGCAGAGATGGTGACATCCCATGTAATATATGCTGCTTGTATCCTGTAAGAGCTGCATTTGAAATCTGAGTGTTCCATCTTCTGTTTAGTGTTGACAAACAGAAGAGGTTCTTCTGAAACTGATCTCTTTTTTTTTTTTGGAGCACTTACAGTTTGTTTGGCATGTGTAAATCCTAATTAAGCTAGGGATCAGGAAAAGCAGAATGGCTCCAGCCTGGTGATTAGAGCACTTGACTGAGAATCTATATGTCTCCAGGCATTTTGCCAGTGAGTTTTTCTATGCCCAGTAAAAGAGCATTGCTAGGAGGGATTGCTAATGCTGTTACCCCAGCCCACCTTAAAGAATTAAATGGCACCCTTTACTCAGTAGGGTGAGATGCAGGTTCAAACCTTCTCAGCCAGAGGCAGGAACCAAAATATGAACATCTGGACTGTTGCACAGCTGAAAAGTTGTTTTTCTACACTTAAATACATTTTCTGTCTGTCTGAATCCTGCAAGTCCCAGTTTTTTCTTTTTGGGGTAAGTAAAAGGTCTAGATCAATACAATATTGTTGTGGCAGGATGACAGAAATAATTTTTGCTGGTTCTCCCCTTTCCCAAACATGCACATCCACATGTGCATGCACACAGATACCTTAAGCTAAGACAGTTACCTAGCACTGGTCGCTGTGATGTGTAGTTCTTAACACTGCCAAACAAGAGGTGATTCGGGTGGGGTTCTTGCAATGGCCGTTCTCTAATCAGCATGGCTGGCAACTGTATTTCATTCTGCTTTTACTGTTTCAGCCTCCTCCCCTCATCTCCAATATTTCAGCCTGCAACAGTCCAAGTGATTATTTTTCCTTAAGTTCTCAATCTAGGGAAGAGTTTGATAATGTTTTCCAGTTCCAAGAAATCTAATGGCTGCTTGTTTAGGAGCACTCCATCTCCACTGAGGAATCCAGGTATTTTCCTCACTTCCAGGGTTGGGTTATTTCCAAATTCATTTGTGCTACTTAGTGATTTGGTTTTAGTTAGCAAGAGTTTCCAACCTGTATCCAGCTTACTGTGACAACCTTTAAGAAAACCACAGAATGATGTAATAAGCCCCTGCATGGAAAAATAAACAGCTCTGGAGAAACCAGCAGTAGCAGCCTCAAGTAAATATTCTTCAGTCACTGGGGTTTTGAAAATGACGTTATTTGAAAGGAAGAATGAGTAATATATTAAGGTTAGCAGCTGAAGACGGGTTTCTGTGTGCTGTGCCTAGTTTAGGAAAAAAAAAAAAAAGAAGAAAAAAATCATAGCTGTTTGTTTCAAAATCCTGCTTGGCAAATGGGGACCAATTCCATGTGGCCTATTCTGTTAAGCTCTGGTACCCAGGCATCATGCTGGCATCTCATGATGGCATTCCAGTAACAGAGCTTTCTCCTGTCAGGAGCTCTTAGTGGACAGAGTATAACTGAATGAGCTTTGAAAACAAGAATGGTGGTATTCACATTTCTTTTCCTTAATTGAGCCAACTTGAAGCCCAAACTTTAGAGTTTTTCGAAGGGGTAAAATACTTGAAAAGTTCACATCTGTATATATCCCTCCATTCACCTGAAGGGATGTCTCATGATTCTTGAGTGCAATTTGTCTCCAGAGATCTGCACAGTGAAGTGCAATGTGATTATATCAAGTGTCATTATCAGGACCTGAGTTCTCTGGTTTGTCTGTGTTCCTTAAGGGGTCTTTTTTCACACTTGCAGGAAAAAAAAAGAAAAAAAAAAGAAAAGAGAAGAGAACACCCATGGCACCCCCAAAAACATTCTCTATAATACTCAGTTAGGAAATGACACTATTTTCCTGCATGCCTTTCTTATTGATCAGAGGTAGTAATACCCAAGGGTTAATGTACTCATGGGTATGCTGCCTTATCCATATTGAGGCTTTCTATGATCAAGTACATTAAAAAGGAGTCTGCTTGAGACTATGTTGGGAATCAGAGTAGTTCTTCTTGATCAGGTGAGATGAACATATAATGAGACAGAGCTTGAGAAGGAAGTTTTAGTAGGATACCCCAAAAATAGCCAAGGTTAGACAAGAGTTTAATTCCTTATTAGAACTTTCTTT